TCCTCTCCCACTTCCACGTGGCACCGACGCCGTCGACGGCGCGCCAGGTCGCGCCCGACGGGTGGCGACTTGGAACGTCGAAGGTTTGCGCGGCGCGTCGCTGGCCATGCTCGAAGAGCCCCCGGGCGCAGCGCGCAGCGACCGCATTGACATCTCACGCGCCCAGGGGGCGCAATTCGATTGGGCCGAGCACCGCAGTAAACGTGAGCAGCCGTTTTTATCTGGCAGTCTCGGCGCTGGGGCTGGTTCCTCGGCGGGACCTTCAGTCGTGATTTCCGCGGTCGCTCTCGGGGCTGCGGCGACCAGATCGCCGCGCTGCGGGTCGCGACCCCCAGAGGGGTGCTAACGTTCATCAGCGCGCGCGCGCCGCGCGCGGGGCCCGAGCCCGAAGGTCGGCGAGATTCCCGCGCGAAGCTGCAAGCCTCAATCAGAGCGACAACTGCGCACAGTTCAGTATATATGTATATTGAATATATGAATATATGAATATACATATATATATGTATATATACATATATATACATATACATATATATATATGTATATATATATATATATATATATATGATCGGTGACTTCGAGCAACTTCTGCGAGCGGGGCCGGGGTGGGGGGGCGATGCGACGGCGCAGCGCGCGTTCCGCGCTCGACCGCGGGATGGCGCTAACGACACCGCCAGAAATATGGGGAAGAATATCACAGTGGCAGCTGCTGATGTAAACGTGTAGTTCGTGCGATTTGGTCGCGCTACATGTTTTTTTTTCCGCCGCCCAGACCGCGCGGGGATCGCGTGCCAAAACGTTGGGACCAACCGCGTGGACCCCGACATCAACAGCAAAGTTTTCGCGGATCGATCATGCGTTGCGCCGCCGCAGCGTGTTATCTACGATTCAAGATTGTTGGGCTATGCGGGGGGTTTCTTTGAACGCCCGTCCTGTCCTGACAGCGGCAACAAGCGGCGTCGAGTTCGAAAGGCAGCAGGGGCCTCGTCGACGCAAGCGCCACATCGACAACAATTCGCTGAATGACGAGGGCGCCCTGGGAAAGTTCACCGGACATTTTCTTGAAGCCGAAATGGGAAGCCGCGCGCAGAGGCCTTGGACACCGCGGCCGAGAGTTTACAACAAGCTCTTCCCGGCGCCGCCAGCCTGAAACGTTTGACTCGATTGCAGAACGGTCGCTTCACCGACGGCGCCAGGATTGCGACGGCGAGCGACGATTAGGCAGAGAAGTACAGAAATCTGGGAAACAAGACCGGGAACCATAGCTCAACGGTTGTTCGGCGGGCGGCGCATGGGACGCAGTGAAATACGCGCGGAATCCGCAAGCGCGCAGCGCCCAGATGGCGCTGCATCGTGCGCTTCTGAGAGACCGGATATTTTGGCAGACTCCGCAATGGGAGTATATGTTTTCCGATCGCCGCCCACGCAATGCAGCGCGCCTTGGCGACAAACGTCCAATCGACATGGTGGCGCGTTTCAATGGAACAGTTCCAGATAGCGATCCGCAAGCTGAAGAAGGGCACGGCAGCAGAACCGAATGGCGCCCCTCCTGACGTTTAGAAGGCGTGGGCTTCAGACGATGCTGCGAGCGACATGCTCTTCAACAACTGCCAGCAATGCTGGGTGCAAAAAGCAATGCGTAAATCCTGGAAGCGAGCAAACGTTGCGCTGCTTTCCAAAACGAGTGACGCCGCTTTGCCGGCGAACTACAGACCGATATAGCTACTGCCGGGTTCGCGTTGAGTGCTGACATCAATGCGACACAACTAGCTGGTTTCAGCAGGTGCGGAAACGCGAATAAGAGATTCGCAATTCGGGTTCCGGCTGCGCCGCGGCACAGGCGACGTAATCATTTTGACGCGCCGGATGATCGATGCGGCCCACTTGCACGTCAAGGTGGTCTGATATTTTTGTTGCTGGAATGGGCGATGGCTTTCGATCGATTAAAACCAGACTGCATGTACGATGCCCTCGAACGCGTTTGGCCCGCCAGGTGGCATGGTGGAAATGGCGCGCCCGATCTACTCCGCAAGTTGTGCACCATCGTTGATCGCGCGGGCCGCTTTCTTGAACGACGACAACGCGCCGGGATTGCCCAAAGTTTCCCGTTTTCGCCGCATTTCTTCATCATCGTACACACTGTAATGTTGCATGTTGTGCGTGACACCCTTAAGCTACTTCCAGAATATGGTTTTGAAAATACAAATGCTATTCTGTACGCTGATGATACAGAGTTTGTGTCTCATCACTGTTCCAAATTCTAGACGCTTCGCGTATCCCCACCAGCCCGTCCAGAAACAACGCCCAGGCGAGTAGAGGGTCGTCCTGAGGGGCTTTTCGGCGTCTTGGGTGCCTCGGGGGGGCCTCTTTGGGCCGTTTGGGATCCTCTTGGGGGCCTCCTGGGGGCCTCTTGGGGCCATCTTGGGGCCATCTTGGGGCCTCTTGGTGCCTCCTGGGCGCTTTTTGGGGCCATCTTGGAGGAAATCGATCAAAGAAGAGGGGAGCTTTAATTAGCGCTGCCCCCTTCAGAAGGCCAAACTGGGGCCAAAACCTTAATACAATCAATGATTTTGGCTTCAAGGAAGAGGGGAGCTTTAATTAGCGCTGCCCCCTCAGAAAGGGCAACATGGGGCCACAACCTTAGTACAATCAATGATTTTGGCTTCAAAGAAGAGGGGAGCCTTAATTAGCGTCGCCCCCTCAGAAGGCCAAAATGGGGCCAAAACCTTAGTAAAATCAATGATGTTGGCTTCCTCGGCGAGACCGTTTTGGACGCTTTGACCGCTCCCCGCCCCCCCTGTCCAGGTCAGTGGGGAGGGGGTAGGGGGAGGGGTAAACCCCTCCCCGAAGGGGAAGAAGGAGGGGTGGAAGAGGAAACTCGTTAAACCACCGACGCCCTAAAGGGCTGGTGGGATTGCATCATATGCTGGCAGCAATAGTGGGGGAAGGTCGGAAGTATCGCTTGGAATCTCATTGTAGAAACACAATACAAATACACATCTCCACAACGTGGGCGACAACATCGCAAAGTGGTGAGCACATTGAGGCAGCGAGGAAATGCTTTAGATTTAGGTGGTCTTATTGCGTGCGATGAGAAAGTGGCAATTGAACTAAAAGGCACCGTTGCGAAGCATACCGCGTTTTCAAGCAGTTACACCGGAAACGGAACCAAAGTTCACTTGGAAAGAATCGTAATGCCAATATACGTACATGTGTATAAGTATATATGTGTATATATTTATATGTATATGAAAATTGTGTCCTGGCCCAGCTCCTGTAGTCTTTGAATGTCGTTTGGCTTCTGAAAGCAGGCCGGGCGCGTCTAGACACCTTCCACAGCACATGCTTACGTCGTTTGCTGGAAATTGTTCCGTCTTTCGTTTCACTGGTTAGCAACGCAGTAGTGCTGCAAAAAGCATCCGCCCAACGTCTGTCTAAGATGTTGCTTGCCAGGCAAGTTGCTTGTACGATGGAATCGTGAACTCGGGGTGCCCAGCGCTTGTCAAAACCGCTGTTTGTAATAACGATGGGTCCCCCAAGGGATAGGCTCGGCGCCGAAAAAAGGGCCGCCCCCGCCAGCAGTTGGCGAGTCAAGTGTACAAGTTGTCCCGGCATGTATAGCAACCGTGCCCCTTCCCCTCCTTCCCTTTCCCGTTTTCCTCCTCCTCCCCTTCCGTCCCCCTCCACTCTGAATTCCAATGTCGTGATGCGCTTTCTCTCTTGCGTCACAGTCGTGAGGCGCTCTTCTGTTCTGCGTCCCAGTCGTGGTGCAATCCGCTTGTGCTTCACAGTCGAGTCTGTGCGTGCACGCAGTCGCTCTTCAATGTAATTCCAGCCATATCGTGTTGAACAGTTGCCAAGCGCGCGCTCGTTTGCCCACGCGTCCCTCCGGTCGCAGGGTTCACTGGTAGTGGTGGTGGTGGTGGTGGGTTTGGAACGATGTTGGCCTCATGGCGCCCTTTCGGCGGACTTCTTGAAGCTCCCTTGGAGCGTCTTGGAGGCCTACTCGGTCGTTTTGAGGGTATTTTGAGTGCCTTTTGGCGCCTCCTCGACGTGTTACAGCCCAGCTTGTAGAAGATGTGATTGCACACTGGACACTTCGATGTCGGGGGCGTCATCCGCGATTTGTCGCGGGGCGAGCGCGCGATCCAAGCTGCACTCGCAGTGCTGGGTACCCCTATGCGCCATGATTGCATATTGCGTGCCAACGTTTCTAAGGAAACCGAGAGGCGGGTGATAGTGGTAGAAATCAACTTCGTAAACCAAGTTGCAGAATGATCGGGTATAGGCCTAGGACTCAAGTTGTGATTTGCTCCGACGGTGCATTTTTCGCAACGCCGGGTTTCAGTGGTGGTCCACTGCCGGATTAGGGATCGGTGCTGCATGATTTGGTGGGCTTGTTTTCCACCACCACCACCATCAGTAGGAGGGGGTAGGGGTCCTCGTCCTCCTCCTCCTCTTCTTTCTCCTCATCCTCCACCTCCTCCCCTTTCCAACTTATGGTGGTGGTGGTGGAAAACAGGCCCACCATGATCATCGAGCAAGTTCTTCTTCCTCATCCGCCTCATCTCTCGGTCCTGTTGTGCCCTGGAGGCCTCCGCAGCCGGCCTTCGGCTCGAGCCGCGAACGCCGACGACGACGACGACGACGAACGAAGCCGACAGCCCTCCTCCTCCTCCTCCTCCTCCTCCGAGGCGGAGCCGACCGCGGCCGCGCAGAAGGCCGCAGAGGCCCCAACAACGCATGGCAAACTCGATCTTCCAATCGGAAATGCGGACGAAGCCGTCGATGACGGCGTCGGCGTCGAGGCCGACATGGGCAGCACCGACGGACGACGACGACCACGGCGACGGCGATGGCGACGGACGACGACGACGACGACGACGACGACGACGACGACGACGACGACGACGACGACGACGGCGACCGCGGACCGACGACGGCGGTGGTGGCGTCGTGGACGGCGGCTACGGCGGCCCCAATGCCGATGCCGGGGTGAGGATTACGCACCTGCTGTCCGCCTGCGTGGGGGCTGGCCTCTACCTCCTGGTGCACACGAGGGGCGGGGTCGCTCCGGGCCACCCAGCGGGGCCGAGGTCTCGGGCGGAGTATGTCTGTTGCAGCCCGTCCTTGCGCCGGTTGTCCTTGTGAACAGCGCCGCACGTGGTGTCGCAGTTGGGACAGTAGATGGCGTGCAGCAGAGGATGATGAGACGACATGCGGGTTGGAAACAGAACCGGACGAGGAGGATTGGCACACCACCGGGAATCGGATGGAGTAGCGCTTGAAAAACGCTCTGGCGAGCGCCTGCGTGGTTGTCTGGAGCGAAGCGCGTGGCAAGCAGAGACGCGGGCGGGTGGACAAAATCACCGATGGAGCCAAAGGAACCGTCTGCAGAGTGCGCCGATGGTCGTGAGTGCCAGCCGCGTTCGGATCTGTAGCAGGAGGCGTGGTCGGCAAGCATGCAGATGGACCACGGACGGGCTCCGAGCGACGGAACTCCCAGGCGTTCCCTTCGTGTCCCCTTCTCTCTTGTCCTCCTCGCTGCTCTCCCGCCCGCCGCATCGTCCCCTTCCCCCCCTCCCCCTCTCCCGACTTGATGTCGGCGGCCGCCCCTCGCGACGGAACTCCCAGGCGTCCCCTTCGTGTCCCTTTCTCTCTGACCCTCCTCGCTGCTCTCCCGTCGGCCGCGCCGTCCCCTTCACCCCCCCCCCCCCTCTACCGACTCGGCGTCGGCGGCCGCTGCTCGAGCCTCTCCTCTCCCGTGTGCGGAGGCCAGGCAGCACGCCTTTTGGGAGGCCGACGTGCCCACTCCCCTGCTGTTCCTGTGGGCGGGGGGGCGCTCCGTCTCCGCAACCCTAGCGAGTCGGCTCAGAGCCGCCGCGGCAGCAGGTGGCGTTTCGTTCAATGGCTTGGCATCGCTCGGACGTGTCGGCGAGGACCATCGAGGAGCATCCTCGACCATCTGGCGAAAACAACACGCACGAAACCGAAACAAACACAGGAAATGGACGTCCGAGCGATGCCGACCCCGTGCCGCTTCGGACCGACCCCGCGCACACTCCTATGCGATCTGGGTTCCCGGTGTGATGTTGAGTGATCCCATTCTGTCAGCCCCCGAGCACATTCCCGAACACCTCGATATATATATATATATATATATATATATATGTATATATATATATATATAGAAATATAGATATTTTATATATATATATATATATATATAGAGTATCTCAGGGTGCAGTGCCTGGGGCTTTCTCCCAGGTGTTTCATGCCGCCATGGGGGCTCTGGGCTCCCCGGGCACCCTCTCCAGCGGCCCGAGAGCCGCCCAGACGGCCTTAAGTGGCGTCACAGAGACACCAGAAGGCTTCGAGATGACCCGCGGGGCTTCTGGGCAGCCCCAGATAGCTTCAAGACGGCCCAAGAGGACTCGACGAGCGTTCCCCAGAGGGTCCCAGGAGGCAAAAGCCATTGATTATGTTCCATCGTTGTTTAAAATGTTGTTGGGGTTCTCGACTTTCGAGCTTCCGACGTTTCACGACGTCCCAAGTTCCCTCCAGCACCGCCCAAAGACGGTCCAAGAGACCCCCAAGACCGCCCCAAGACGGGCCAAGAGGGTCCCAAGATGGCCCCCTCAGGAGCCCAAGACGGCCCAAGAGGGCTCCAAGACTGCCCAAGAGGGACCCACGAGCAGGAGCCCGAAAGGACAATTCGAGCCTTCCGTCCCAAGATGCCACCGGACGTCCCAAGAGGGCTCGCCGAGCGCTCCCCAGAGGGCCCCAAGAGGCAAAAACAAAACATTGTTTTTCCATAGTTTTTCAATGCTTTCGGGGCTCTCGACTTTTCCAGCTTCCAGCGCTCCACGACGTCCCAAGAGGGCCCCCAAGACCGTCCCGAGACGGACCGCCAAGCCCAAGAGCGCCCAAAGACGGCCCGCCCAAGGACGCCCCGAGCGGCCCGCCCAAGACGCCCAAAAGACGGTCCCAAGAGAGGCCCGAGCGCAGGTGCCCGAAGCGATACTCCGAGCCTTCCGTCCAAGATGCCCCCCAGACGGCCCCAGAGGACTCGATGAGCGATCCCCAGATGGCCGCAAGAGGCAAAAACCTCGGATCTTCCTGAGGTTTCGACATGTTTTCGAAGGGCCTCGACTTTTCGAGTTTCCGGCGCTTCAAGGCGTCTCAAGAGGCCCCCAAGACCGCCCCGAGACGGCCCAAGCGGCCCCCACGAGCGTCCCAAGACGGCCCAAGAGAACCCCTAGACGATCCCAGACGCGCCCAAGACGCCCCGAGGTATCTCCGAGACGACCCCAAGAGGGCCCCAAATGTAACACAAACTTCACACAAACCGCTTCCTCGTCAAGGACGTCGTTGTGTTACATTTGTTTTAAATTCTTAGGGCTCGGAGGGCGCTCTGGCAGCTCCCTTGGCGCCCCTTTGGGCCCTCCCAGGAATACACATATATATATACATACATATATGAAGAGAGAGAGAGAGAGAGAGACGACTATACATATATATATATATATATATATATGTATACACACATGTGATGCTCGGGCCACAGGTGACCCATACCCTGGGGCTTTCCACGCGACCACCTCCCAGTCCTGGGCCGTCTGGGGTGCCCGGGCCCTCCGTGGAGCCCGCAGAGGGCCCCAGGGGGCCCGCAGACGGCGAGCAGAGCTGCCAGGGTTTTTGTGTTCCTCGAGGACCCGCACCCCTTCCAAGAACCAGCCGGCACGATGAGTTCGATCCGCGGCCCGTGGACGAAAAAGAAACGCAAGTTGTGCACAAAGACGCGCACAGCAAAGAAACACGCAACATCCACAACACCCAACAGGCGAGCACACGAAACACACACACACACATACACACACACACGCAAAACACACGAGCACACACACACACACACACGCACACTCTCACACAACCACACTCACACACACAAAACACACGAGCACACACACATATAACATACACAGCACAACAGTACACACAGCAAATACACACAGAACACACACACAGCAAACACATAAATCACACACTCACTACAAACAAACACACTCACATACACATTCACACACATATCAAACACACATAGAGAAAGCACACCCACACACAAAAACACACACACACAACAAACACACACGACACACAAACAGCAAATACAATTACAAGGCTTCCCACCCATCCCCCAGGGCCAGCTTTTTGTTTGAGGAGGAACAGGTACCCATAACTACCGCTACCCTTACCTCGCTTTCGTCTTCTTGAGCCTCCTGAGAGGCCCTCGTGCCCGCCGCAGGATTCGCATCGAAATTCTGGCCAGAGCGCACTCCAGGAGCGGTCCGGGGAGTAGCGGTATGGGTACGGGCCAGTCTTTCGCCCCCGGCCTACGGTTGATGGTCCCGGGGCCCGAGGCCAGGTCCTCGAGGGCCGATCGGGCCGGACGAAAGGGGGGGATTGGGAAAGGGGGGGTTACGAAATCTGCTGCATGCAGCTGGTTTCGGCCCCGCCGCCGGGGCCATTCCTCGATACATGGGCGCCTCCCGGCGCTGGTAGGCGCCGGGAAAATCAGCTACGTGAGCTGATTCTCAAACCCCCCCTTTGCTATCCCCCCCTTTCGCCCGACCCGAGCCGAGGGGCCGAAGTCGGGGAAGCACGCCCAGGCTGAAGAGAGTGGATCGTCGGATATTTGGGCTCGTGCCGACGACACAGCTGCAGCTTCTGAGGGTCTGAGCCTCGAGCCCGAAGTCGGGCATGTCCCTCTACAGGAGGAGTACTCAAGAACAGTCAAACAATAGTCTGGGGACGATTTTTCGATGCCTTTCGAACATTCCCAAGCATTCCGCGATTATTTTAACACTGTTCGTACAGAATCCGCCTGTAGGAGGACATACCTGGCCTAACTCGAGCCTCGAGCCGGGAGAGCACGCAAGAGGTGCAGGCGCTGCAGGGCGCCAGCGTGGCCCCGAAGCGCGGGGGCGACAGCAAGAGCGGCAAGGGCGGCAAGGGCGCTGGCAAGGCCGGCCGCGTCGGAGGGATCGTTTCCCAGACATGATCGCGTCTTAAAAAAATCAGGACGGCAAGGTTTTGGGCCAATTTCGGCCTCGAGGGGCCCTCGCCGGGCCTCGGGACCGTGAGAAAACGACGCAGGATGAAAAACCTTCCCCGGGGAAAGGGTCTGGACTTCCAGGGACTTCTGGCAAGGCCAGTGCCTCGGAGGGATCGCCTCGAGTCTCGAAGAAGAAAAAACGCCATGAGCATTAATTTTTGGCGCTCCGCGCGGATTCCTTGGATCCGCGCTGGGGCAACCCCCGGCGGCGCCTCCGGCGCCGCCCCTGATCCAGCGCGGATCCAAGAAATCCGTTCGGAGCGCCAAATGTTTATGGTTATGCCGTTTCTTCTTCTTTTTCTTCTTAGTTTTCTTCTTCTTCTTCTTCTTCTATTCGGGTCAGAGGATGAACATCGGGATGATCGAAATGGGTAGGGAGAAAATGGGCACAGAGACCGACAGCATTGTCTGTGTAGTGGAGCAGGACTCGTTGTCGGTGTCGCCGCGGGCGTTGTCCACTCGAGACAGGAGGCCGCCTGCCCGACAGCGGCCGCTGCTGGTTTTGGACAACACTTGTTGTCGGGCATTCTATCCATGTTTTCCGTAGCCGTGCTGGGCGACCAAAGAACAGGTATATTGCGTGTTGGTGTTGCCATCTTTTCTCTCGTGTTCGCCTATTCGTTAGAGGGGCAAGAGGTCATGATAATGATACGTTCCTTGCTGTCCCAGGTTTCCAGGCTTCCTCAGATCCCCTCCTGTTCGACATGGGCTGTAAAGCGAGGGCCGCTAGATACTCTGAGAGTCCTGGGGCACAGGTCCTAAAACGCATCCTGAGCCAATCTTCCTACGACGCCGTTTTCGCCCTGTGTCTGGCCTCGTGGGAAACCTCGGCCGCCACGGCGGGGTCCGCCTTCGACATGCTGGTCAGACGGCGCCCCAGGAGAGCTTTGGGAAGCGGCGGCATCGGTATCTCTCGGCTTCCCCAGTGGGGGAATCCAGATCTCCGACGAGATGGTCTTCCCAATCCAGGATATGATCCAGGGTGCAAAGTTGCCTCTGGGGAGGGATCAGGAGCTCTGGGGTCGCGGCGCTGGTCTGCGCCGAGCCCCTGCCATTCGGCTACCAGTATCGAAGACGCACAGGGCCAGAGCAGATGGTGCCGCGGAGGAGCGCGCCGCATCTCAGATGCATCGGCGATTCGGCACGGTCTGGGGCCCGTCCCTTTGGGCCCTCGGGGAAACGGAAGACTCGAGTTTGCCAGAACTCGGGACGCCCGCCGTTTTTTTGACGGCCCTTGGCGTCAGCCTTTGACGGATCGGTTCTCGAGAGGTGGTTGCAGCAGCGGGATTTGGACCAGGCCCCGCCACTGTTCTGAGGCCCCCTCTGGGCAGACTCGAGTCCCCCATACTTCGAGCCTTACGTCCGCGGACGACTGATTGCGTGTGCACCGTACCGCGTTGGCGCTTCTCAAGGCGTCGTCGATCTTCGACCGAGGAATGCTACGGTGCATAGTTGTTCGGCTCTCAGAGCCGGGACCAACAAAAACTATGCGCCTTACCGCGCTGGAGCGGGGCCCGCAGGGAGTCCAAACATTCACCACCCACCAAACCACCCCAACCCAACCCCAAGGCCAAAACTGACCTGCGATCTCCAGTGGGGGGCGGGGGTCAGGGAACATCGAAGAGCACATGTGGGGCCCGCACCTCCCCCAACCCGAAGCTTGGGTCTTCGGGTTGGGTTGGTCGGAAGCCGGGCAAGGGCTGCTAAATCCGTGGCTGCTAAAATCGACCTCCGGGAAGTTGTCTTCGTCCTTCCGGGAAGAAGTCCGTTGACTGCTTCGCGTGCCACGCCTCATTCCGGGAAGTTGTTTTTTCATTCCGGGAGGGCCGTTTTAGCAGCCACGGTTTTTAGCAGCCCTCGCCCAGCTTCCTAGTTGGGATGGTCTGGAAGGCAGTCAAGCATGGCACACGGCGCATGGGCACCGAGCCATGGGCCTCCGGGGGGGGGGGGGGCATGGGGCCCCGAGGGGCAGGCTCCGAGCGAGGGCGCGGTGCCCGAGGACGGCCAGAGCAGAAGCGGCCGGAGGATGCCGGGCGGGTGGTCATCGGGAGCCTCGAGACGGGGGTCAGTGCAGACGGGGGTCAGCCAGAGCGCCAGATCTTGCAGGATCCTGCAGCGCCAGGGTCGCATTGACCCGGGTTTGGGTGCAGGATCCTGCAGGATCCTTCGCATTGACCCGGGTTTGGGTGCAGGGTCTGGCAGGATTTTGCAGGATTCTGCAAGGCCTGGCTGACCCGGGTCTGGATTGACCCGGGTCAGAAGATCCCCGAGGTAACCGGGGGCTGACCTAGATTCAAGTCGGGCACGTCCCTCTACAGGAGGATTTATTTCGTTCAAGTTTCAAAAAGAGTCGGGGGACGATGTTGAATTGTTTTTGAACTGTATTTGACTATGTGCTATTTTTTCGTCCAAAAGCCCCCTGTAGGAGGACATGCGCGACCCAATGGTGATGGGGGGTGACCCAGAGGGGGGGTCAAGAGAAAGGGTCGATGCACCCTTCCCTGGGCCGAGCCGGGCCAGGGACACTTCGAGCAGCTCAACGGCACCGTAACGGGTACTTACTAACGGGTACTTTGAATTTTTGCCGAAAGTTGCCACTTTAGGGCCTTTTTCTTGCATTGCAGCTTTGCCCACATCGGGAAGGGTTGGGTTCGCTGGGTCACTGGCCAAAGTACCCGTTAATGGAGTCCCCGTTTGAGGGGCGCTGAGCAGCACCCAGACAGCTCTCACGAGGCTCCGAGGGCCCCAGGGGCTCCAGAGCGGAGCGAAGAGCTGGGGACGCCTCGGGCGCACCTTTCGCAGCACAAGCTTTTTCCGTCGGCGGCGAGGCAGAAGTGCTGCTCCGGCGGGCGGGCGAGCGGGGCAGCCGATGCGCCGAGATTGGCCCGCGTGCAAGAGGGAGGACAAAAAATTTGACGGGTGCGGCCGCGAAGGTCGGGAGGAGGCGGAGGGCACCCAGCCGCGGAAGAGTCCCAGGGCAGCGCACAAACAGGCGATCGTTGTCTGATTCTTCGTTTTGCCGATCGGCGCGGGCCCTCGCACTCCCCCCCCCCCCTCCCCCCCCCCCTTGGAGTGGATCTTGGCTGCTATGGGCGCCTATTTCGAGCAGGTGGAGTCTCCCCCATGGCACGCACGGTTGCAAGCAGTCGCACTGAGCAGAGCCCCCCTTCCCCCCTTCCGCCCAGTGGCGAAACGGCGAGCAAGACAACGCTCACCATGGGGACCCCCCAAGGAGGGCCGCCTTCCTGGGGCAGGAGCCCCCCGAAGGGAGGCCGCTGCCCGCAGCGGGGGCGGAGCCCTGCCGCTCCCTCGCGCGGCTGGGCCTCTTGCTGGCCGTGGGGCCTCCTCCTCCTCCTCGTCCTCCTCCTCCCCCTCCTCCTCCTCCTCCACCCTCCTCCTCCTCCTCCTCCACCACCTCCACCTCCTCTACCTCCTACTTCCTCCTCCTCCTCCTCCTCCTCCGCCTCCTCCTCCTCCTCCTCCTCCTCCTCCTCCTCCTCCTCTACCTCCTCCTTCTCCTGCTCCTCCTCCTCCTCGGCGGCCACCGCAGCGGCTGTTCGGGACGACGTGGGCACACCGGGAGCGCCAAGCCCCTTCTGCCGAGGGAAGAAGCACGGATATGCCATGATTCTGCGCCCCCTCCTCCTTTAGGGGAACGGGCAATGACATAATCAGGGGCGACGACAGGGGGGGGACAGGCATAGGGGGGGATGCATCGACCCCAAATCGCCCATTCATCGCCGATATGGGTCAGATAGCCCCAAGCTGCCCATGAATGTGCGGATTCACGATCGGAGGCCTATCGCCTATCGCCGATCTATCGGCGTTGTTGCGCCGATTCCAGATCGATGCATCCCCCCTATCGTTGCCCCTCACACAAACATAACAACTCGGAGGTCCGCGTGGATTTCTCGGATCGGCGCTCGACCCCACTCCCTGTCGCGCGGAGCGCGCCAGGGGCGGCGCCGGAGGCGCCGCCAGGGGGCGCCAGCGCCGATCCGAGAAATCCGCGCGGACCTCAGAGTTTTCTTGTTTGTGTCATTCTTCGTTCCCCAATTCTAGGACGCCGTTCTTCTGGACGCTCCCGAGTTGACATGTAACACCCCTCGTGGATGCTTGGAGCACTGCTGTCCCGCGCCAGGCTCTGGAGACAGCGGAGGGGGCGGGCCTTGTGAGAAGCTTTCTAAGGACATCGCGCTACCAAACGGAGAGCTGAGTAAGGAATGAAGGAGCTTTTCTGGCTACGGCGAGCCTCGGCCATGAACAAGTCCCTCGACCTATGTATCAGGAACGGCCCGAATATCAGAACCCCTCCTGAACCCCAAGTTGTCCTCATGTCAGCGTCCTGGCGATAATGAAGGCTTCTCTCCGAAGCCACGCCGGCTTCTGAGAAAGCCTGCCCTATCTCCTTTCCCCCCTCGGCAATGAACATGTCCTCCGGCCGATGCGTCAGGAACGGCACGGATACCAGAGCCCCTCCTGAAGCCCATGCGGTCCTCATTGCAGCGTCTCAACGATAGTTCAGACTTCTCCAAAGCGACGCTGGTTTCTGAGAGGGCCTGCCCCATCTCCCCTCCCCCCTCGGCGCGCCGCCGAATTGGTTTTTCTCGAGCCACAGCATGACCTGGGCCTCCAGGGCACACCTGGAACGCTCTAGGCGAGGCGCAGCCGTTGGAATGCACCTCGAGGCTGGAACATTGCAGTGGATATACAAAACGCGAGAAAATCTCCGACCTCGAATCCCAAACTCCCCAGACATCCGCTGCCCCAATGTGTTCAGTGCGTGGACTCCCCGAGGTCTGGACAGCGTCCCCCTAGGGCCCGTATTACATCGTCCTCGTTACCATCATCAGCAGCTCATGAGCATCACCATCATCAGGATGGCTCTATGAGTACAGAGGCGTATCGAA